TATATTGTTTTTGTATTTTATACTGATTTATTTACAAAGTTCAAATACATTGTTTTTCACGCCAGCTCTTTCCCATTTTCTTCACACCTCCCCATCAAATTGTGTGGCCCTATGATTAACACCCTACACACACACACACTGCCCATCCTTACCCCTCTGCTCCCACCCTCACCTGCCCTTGGATCCTCAGACTCATTCTACAATGATGGTTTTATTCAGTATTTGTCCTTATGGGACTGACTTAGTTCACTCAGCATAATGTTCTCCAGTCCCTGCCAAGTTAGGTAGTGATTTACAAAATCATTGTTCCTGTGTGCTGCGTAGTATTCCGTTGTGTGAATGTACCATAATTTCTCAATCCATTTGATTGTGGTTGGATATCTGAGCTATTTACATTTTCTCACAATGGTGAATAATGCTGCTATGAACATTGGTGTACAAATCTCTGTGTCTCAGTTTTAATTTTCTCAGGGTATACCACAAGCAATAGAATAGCTTGTCATATGGGTCATACGGAGTTTCTATGTTACTTTACAACTTCTCTTGGAGTGAAATTGTATCTCATTGTGATTTTGATTTGCATCTCTCTTATTCCCAGTGATTTTGAGCGTTTCTTCATGTGTCTGTTTAGCCTTCCCTCCTTCTTCTTTTTTTAATTAATTTTAATGAAAGTTTACAGAGACTTTGGATTTCCATTCATTCATTGTTGCACTTTTCTCCCTGCCCCCTCCCCCCTCAATTTGTTCTTCTCTTTGAAAAGTAAAAGAAAAATTCTTTTATTGTTATACAGTCCCTCCTCGCAAGTCCACTGCACTATGCAGCCTTCATTCTGGACTCGTGTCATGACAACAAGGTTGTTGTTGTTAAGTGCCATCGAGCCATAGGCATAGTATGACAATGATACCTAATCATATATCCTTTTTAAACAGTTCTCTCCCTCATCTGTTTTACTCCTAAATCAAAGTAGTACCTTGGCCACCAGAGAACATAACATGTTCCTGCCCTTACTCACCTCAAATCCACAGTTTTGTTGCCTGAACCCAATGCTCTGGGTTTCACACATCTCTTTGACCTGCCTATATTTCTAAGTGAAGCTTTTGCCAATTCCTCGAGCATTGATGAGTTATTCTGGGCTTGTAAATAAAAGAACTTTGATGGCAGAGAAACACCTAAAACTGTAATAATCGTATTACACACATCAATCGTATCCCCTTGTCTGCAGGTTTATGCAAGCGTGGGTAAGGAGTTGTGCTGCCAATCAAAAGACAGATGGTTCTACTCCACCAGCTGGTCTACAGGAAAAAGATGGGCATTCTCATCCTGTGCAACTTATAGCCTCTGAAAAACCATTGAAGGGTCAGCTCTGAGTCTGTTCCAACTCCATGGCACACAACAACTGAGACTTTTCTGATAACTATGACCTTGGTGTTTATGTAGTTATTCAATGTTCATCCAAAGCATGACACAATTGGTGGCTTACAGTAAATGTAAGCATGCTGGGCAAACTGCTGGTGTAGATGCTGTTGGTAAGTGCTGGAGAGTCTGCTCTGATTCATAGCAATTCTGTGCATAACACAACAAAGCCTTGTCCAGCCCTGTGACATCCTCACAACCTCTGCACTGCTCAAGCCTGTTTTTTTGCTTAGTATTAATTTCATTGACGGTCTTCCCCTCTTTTGCTGACCTTCTGTTTTTCCAAGCATGATGTCTTTACCTAAGGACCAACTCCTTCTAGCAATGTACTCAAAGTATGCCAGGTTAAGTCCTACCAGCCTTGCCCCTCTGGAGCATTCTCACTGCTCTCTGTCCAACATGCATTTGTTTATATTTTTGGAAGTCCTTAGAATACTCAGCACTCTTCTTCACCACCACAACTCAAAGGCATTGGTTCTTCTTCCATTAGCCTCATTACTTGCCTGACTTTCAGACGCATGTGAAGTCATGGCAAAGATCATGGCGTAGGTCAGATACATCATCGTCTTTAAATTGACATTATTGCTTCTTTCAACTTGGAGAGCTTCCTGACCATAGATTTTTTTTTCAATGAAATATGTATTTTTATTCTTTTACTGCTGGCCTACTCGACAGCACCTAACAACAACAATTGGTTCCAGGGATATTGACTGGGGATCCAAGAAAAAAGAGGAAATCATTAACAACTTCAATCTTTTCTCTATTATGATGCTGCCTACTGGGTCAGTGGTGAGGATTTTTGTTTTGCATAATCCTGCAGACAAGGGGATACCATTGATATGGACCATTATTAAGGCTTTACTTATTTCTTTGTCACCAAAGTTCTTTTATTTACATGCCCAGAATAACTCATCAATGCCCGAGGAATTGGCAAAAGCTTCACTGAGAAATCTAGGAGAGTTAAAGAGAGATGTGAAAGCCAGAGCATTGCTCTCAAGCAGCAAAAGGGTGGGAATGAGGTAAGGGCAGGGACACACCGCATCTTCCAGCAGCCAAGGGAGTGCTCTAAGTTAGGAATTAAGCATGAAAAGCTAGTCCATGGGCTCTGTCATGCCAGAAGATGCAGAAAGAATAGCTCCTCTTTCAAATCCATTTTCAGATGTTCCTGGAAGCTGTAGAAAATGAAAAACAAGTCCACATGAACCAAACACTCTCTGGAGTTTTTATGTTGTTGTTGGCCCTGTCAAGTCAAATACGACCCATAGTGACCTCATGAACAACAAATCTGAACCCTGTCTTATCCTATGCCATCCTCACACCTCCTGACACACTAGAGCCCATTGCAGCAATCACCGTGTCATTTCACTCGGTTGATGGTCCTCTTCTCCTTTACCGATCCTCCACCTGTTCGAGCATCATGTCCCTCTCCAAGGAATAGCCCCTCTAGCAACACGCCGAAAGTATGTGAGATGAAGCCTCATCATCTTTGCAGCCAAAGAGCCAAAGAGCACTCTGGCTGCATACTTTTCAAAACATATTTGTTTGTTCTGGCAGTTATGAAATGTTCAATACTTTTCTCCAATATTATAGCTCAAAGGTACCAGTTCTTCTGTCATTCTTATTCATTGTCCAGGCTCTCAGATGCATCACAAATGATTGGAATGACCATGGTCTGAGTCAGACACACCTTAGTCCTCAAACCGACATCATTATTACTCAATAATTTGGAGAAGTCCCTAACTGCAGATTTCCCCAGTGAAATGAGTCTCCTGATTTCCTGACTGCTCGTACCAAGGGTGTTCATTGTGGAGCCAAGATGAAGTGTTGACAGTTTCAGTCTTTTCTCTATCTCTTTTAATGTTGCCTATCCATCCAGTGATACGAATCTTTGTCTTCTTGACACTGAGATGCAATCCATTTTGAAAAGTATATCCTTGAGTTATGGATAAGGAATTGGAGATTATCAAATTTACAGATAGTTAAATTTTCCCTCTAGAAAGTTAACGGTCCTTTAGTATACTGGGAACAGTATTTTCTCCTTTGCATTCCATCTGCAAATCTCTGTACTGTTTCTGTGTTTTAGTTTCCTTCCTATGTCTGGACACAGGTAACTTTGCCTAGCTCCATTATAGAGCAATTCTGGGAGAGCACCTGAGAAAACACAATGGCGCATGCGTACTGAGGCTCAGGTACGCTTGGGCACAACCCCTCCAGATCTCAGCCCTCCCATTGCACCACACGAGGAGTGGGGCGGGGCATGGGCGGACTGGAGGAGGCGGGGCCCTGGAGGGGGCGGAGATAACAAACGAGCTGATTGGAAGAGGCAGGAGACAAGCCTGGAGGGGGCGGAGATAACTGTGGGGGCGGAGCCGAACCGAGAGGGCGGGGATAACGGATTGAAAGCAGCCCAGTGGACTGAGCAGGCCGGATGGATAGCCTGGAGGGGGAGAGGATAACTGTTTTGAGGGGGCGGAGCAAAGCCAAGAGGGCGGGGATAACTGATTAAAGGCGGCCCAGCGGACTGAGAGGGGAGGATGGATTGCCTGAAGGGGGCGGAGCCGAGTCAAGAGGGCGGGGATAACTAATTCAAGGTGGTCCATCGGACTGAGCTGGAGGAGGCGTGGCCTGATGCCTGAAGGGGCGGGGCCTCTTCTATGGCGCTAAACCTGCGTTCGGGGGCGGGGCACGGGGTGGGGCTCGCGGTGGCTGCAGCCGCAGGTGACTGTGGAGTCTGATTCCTTTCCTGGGGGTGATTGAGGCAGAAGGCTCGCTGCCTACCGGAGGTGACCAACTGGAGCCGCTGGGCGTCCCCTCGGAGGGCTGTGAAACAGGACCCCCGGGAATCAAGTGAGCTCACCCCTTGGATTGCAGCAGGGCTCCCGCGGATGCAGGTACTGGCGCTGCTCAGGTGCACCCCAGGGGAGCATGCAGGGCGACGGGCCTGGAGAAGCTGCTGCCCTCGGGGCCGGGTTTATGTGAAGAGTTTGCGGGCGCCAGAGTGAGTGTCCACGTCCTGCCGCAGAGTCCCTCACTCCTAGCCTCGAGGGGTGCCTGCGGGTGGAGGGGGGTCTCCATTCTCTTAGCTTTTTGCCAACAACCTCTCAGCGTTTCTGGGGGGCCGAGGAATTGACGACGTCGATCAAGACCCCCTGTCCCTTCGTGGTGACTTGCTCCAGCCCAGCTGCTTGGTGGGTTCGAAGTGCCAACCTTAAGGTTTACAGCACACCAGATGTTTTGCTAGTTTTTTAAAATTTGTGATGTTTCACAACCTTTTAAGCTAAGAGATATTATAATGTCACTTTCAGAGATATACAGATGAATTATAAGGTTTATTGTACACAGATGCACATCTGGATATAGACAAATTATAGATGCAAACAAATACTCAGTTATTTCTATAGGATATTTAAAATACAGCATGTGAAAGGACTGATTTTATGTTCCAGAATATTCTGATTTTTAGTATAGGTGGACAGTTAATAGAGTGTATCTTTTCTGATTAATAACATTAAAAGACAGCCTGGAAAATTTTAAGAGTTCACCAAAACAACAGCACCCCCACAAAACCCCACCTCACCCTACTTTCCAATCACTTTTTCTGTAGGGAAATATTAGGATATTTGAGAGTTGGGATTTGAGGAGATTTACTTTTTTGGCATTTTTGTTGTTTGTTTTTTTTTTTTATTGGTTTTGCAATGAGGTTCAGCTACTTTCTTGACTGGAAAAGGAGCAGCTTTCTTTGTGTTCTAAGTGTGTACTCATGAATACAATTAACAAGTGGGGAAATTAGTTCAGGGAGACAAGGTTGAGATTCCATAGGACATTTGGCTGAGGGGTCCAATTCATAGTTAAAGTTGGGGAGTGTTGTCAGTGATCAGAGTTACTGATGTTGGAAACATAAACACATTTGTAGGTAGTTGATCTCAGAGAGTGGAAGAAATCATTCCGTTAACTATAAAATAAGGAAAGGAAACCCTGGATGGGAAATGACAGGCCTGATGTGCTGGTGGATATAACAGCTGAAGAGGCTGAGAAAATGTGTTCAGAAAAGAAGTAGGAAAACTAGGTGGCAATAAATGATGTTACAGAGATCAGGATAGGAGAGAGCCCACCCTGTCTCTGAGTCAGCCATGTCAGCTGGAGATCATTGCCTTCAGCAAAAAAGAATTTATGTAATAGTAAGGATAGATGCCAAATTTGGATAATATTGAGGAGTAAATAGAAGATGAAGGAGTAAAAATAGAGGCCATGTTAAGTTTTCTGAGAAGGAAGCATGAGAAGGAAAGGTGGTTGATAGGTGGCAGTTAGGAGTTTTTAGGCAGATTGTAAATAATACAGGCATATGGTTTATATTAACAAGCATAAGTGTTATGTGCAAGTCATAGCTTTGTTTCTTGTGGTTAAGTAACAGAAGCTGAAAATAAGTAACTGTGAACTGTGTATATTGAATAGAATTAGGTAAAGGAAAAAGATCTGGCGGCTCCCTGGTTAGAGCGCTCAGCTGTCAACCAAATAGACAGTAGTTAGAACTCCTCTGTTCCTTGGGAGAAAAACCTGATGATCTGTTCCTTTTAAAGTTCACAATCTAGGAAACCCAATGGGGCAGTTTCATTTTGCCACATGGGGTCAATATATGGTGGAATTGTTGGACAGTGCCCTCCCTTATCCAACTTATAGGGTGTTTCAGTGGTGATTTGGTCTGTTGTGTTCAGGTGTTAATCAGTGAATCACAAGTATAGATAAAATTGGACTGTTCCACTTGTGTTCCCATTGATAACCCTAATTTGCCTTTTAAAGAATTTTTTTCCTAATTTGCTTTTAAGTTATGATTTTTTCCATAAATAAGTTAGGATCAACAGTTATGATTCAAGGAAAAGGCTCTTAAATTAATTTTCTTCCTAATGAGTTCAACTTCCATTGTCATTGAAAGTTTGATTTTTAAAAAACATTCTAGTAGTCAGTGAATAGCTAGCTGCATGCATGCTTTCCTTAGGAATTTGAAGAAAATTGAATAAAACAGAAAACTGACAGACAACTCTTCATGAGTATATTGAAAATGGAACAACTGAAAACCTGGAGCTCATTCTCTGCCATCGGAAATGTAAATTGGTGCATTCATTTTGGAAAATATGGGCCTAAATTGTGTTTCATATATACATGCGTATATATGTGTTCTTGTTATGTGCTGCCGAGTCAACTACGACTCATAGTGATCTCACAAACAATAGTTCTGAACCTTGTCCTTTCCTGAGCCAGCCACACCGTCTCTGATACACCTGACTAAATTATCACAGTCACTGTGTCACCCTATCTCATCCTTTAATTATTGTAGAGTAGTGTGATTATTTTTATTTTCATCATCTAGTTTTTATGTTCTTATATATTTGTGTGTGTACATAAATATATATATTCATATTCCTTATATATTTTTCCTGTTTCCAACAACTACCATTCATTTACTTAAGTGTTTAAAATGATTTCATTTTTCAGTGAAAAATTGTTCTATAGATACAGAATAATGCTTTTAACAAAGCTGCAGATTTAAAAAAATGCAAGTAAATGAACTATGTAACCAAATCATGCTTAAGAAATACATTGAAACTTCATGTGCAGTCTTCCCCAATCTGTTTTTTTCACCATGTTCTTTATTGTCTGTGTGGTTTTACTACATATATATGTATGGTCTAGTTTTGCTTACAAATTGAATTACTTGATATGATTTCTATGATTTCCTTTTTGTCTCATGACATAATATGTCTTCCATATTGATGTTATAGTTTATTTCTTTTTTTGTCATTCCATTGTGTGACGTTACCACTAATTACTTATCCTTCTGCTGATGGATTTTTTGTTGTTGTTGCTGTTATTTATGGATATTTGGGTTATTTCCAGTTCTCCTTTTTTTCAACTAATTTTTTTTTTTTTATGATTAAAAGCTGTTTTGCTGTAACTCTTCTCATGCACTCCTCTTCATATTCAAGTACAAGAATTTCTCTTGGCTATTTACCTACAAGTGACATTGAAGTTCTTTGGGTTTGATAATACTGAATTGTTTCATGGAGTGGTTTTACCAGTTTATTCTTTCACAAGCAGTAAATGTTCCCTTTGTCCTCTTTCTCAGCATTTGCAGTTACCAGATTTTTTTTCTTTTTGACAATCTGATGAGTGAAAGAAGGGATTTTTTTACAGTTTCTTAATCACTGATAAAAATGAACTTTTCATCTCAAGCATATGTTTGGGTTTTTCCCTTTTAAAATTTGAAAGACCGTATAAAACACAATGTACATGCATGAAACACAGTGTATATGAGTAATAGAAATATGAATGAAATATTAATATTAATAAAGGAATTAGTAATATTTTATTTCTATTTCTATTCATGACTAGAAATATTAATAGAAAATATTAAGGAAATGAAAATATTAAAAAGTTATTTCTAAAAGTTTTAAAATATAACTCGATACTAATCTTTTGTCAGCTATGTGTGTGGCAAATAGCTTTTCCCATTGTCTAGACTGTGTTTTTACTTACTTGACTGAGCCTTTTGATGAACAGATATCTGTATTTTAATATAGTTGTAAATGTCAACTTTTTCCTTTAATGCTTCTACTTTTAGAAGCCTATTAAATAAATAATTTCTTGAGGCCATAAACTTGTAATTAGATTTTCTAATATTTTAAGTATGAGATGTGTCATATTTATGTCCTTAATCCATGGAATTGACTTTTCTGTAGTGTGGAGTGGTAGTCCAATTTTATTCCCCCCCCATGAGTAATTAATTTTCTCTCATCATTGTTTATTTAATATTCTGGGGTTTTTCCTCCAGTGATTTGTAAGTTTCTGTTATATACTAAGTTTTCCATATATTTGTGGATATGTTTCTGAGCTAGTCTTTCTTATTATCTTAACAAGTAATCTTATTTACTTAAATCATAGAAAGAACAGCCTTATGAAACACATGTCCTAGCTCTGTTCCTTTTAAAACTAAGATGCCTTTCAAATGAATGTTTAATTTGTCCATTTTATTATTATTATTATTAATTTCAATGAACATCTACAGAGATTTTGGAATTCCATTCATTCATTGTTGCACTTTTCTCCCAACCCACTCACCCTCACCCTCACCCCCACCCCCAGTTCGCTCCTCTCCTTGAAAAGCTAAAGAAAAACTCCTTCATTGGTACACAATAATTTGTCCATTTTTAAGATAAACTTTTATTGGCATGTAATGTGTTACTTAGTTCTTGAATTGAACTATCGTCCCTGAGGTCCAAACCAACTCTAGCAACTCGAGTATACACTGTATCAGGATGTCTTTGACTTTTGTGGATCCTGTCCCAACTCATTAGATTTCATTTTTACTTGAAAAGTAACTACAGGATTTTTAATGTTGAGATTATAGTAAAACAACATGTGTGAAGCAACATTCACACTGAACACAGTTTACAAGACTGTCTTTAAAAAAAAATTCAAAAAGACAGTTAGGAATTCTCATTCCAAAATGAAAAAGAACTCTGAAAAGAAATCCCAGAAAGCTAAAGAGCCCTTTCTGACATTTGTTTGCTCTGAGGCTGTTTGCTAAGCCAGGGAACTTGAGCTGTGGTTTTGTTGGATTTGAAGGAGAAACAGATAGAAATCAGCCCAGGGTTTATTCAGGATAAATTCACAGGAGACTTTCTTAGATCCCAGAGGACTGAGCTGGGGGGTGGGGAGAAAACTGCGTTGACTTGATAGGAATTAAAACTGCCTTCACAGGTCTGCAAGGGAAGTCAATGCCAAATAAAATGGGGTCGCAAGGGAACTTGTTCATGGAAGGTTGCAACTACCAGGCCATGTGGAAGTCCACATCCGGTTGATGGTCTCAAGAAATTTCACGATGCTAACTTGTTTTGGTGGTCCCCTCACCTTTTTTTCCCCATCTGTTTTCAAAGATATAACTCATCTTGTTCTCACTCCTTGCCATTGTATCAAAGTATCTCAGTCACAAAAGGACAAATATTGCATAGGGCCACTGTTGTAAAATGGACTGACATCAGGGTTGAGGGAAGACAGAGAAGGAGGGGAGGAATGATGTATACTGCACTGAAACAGATGAGGGAGAGAACTGTTTAAAAAGAATATATGATTGGGTATTATTGTCATGACGAGTCCAGAATGAAGGC